TTTCTACACGAGGAAAGATAATCCGGGTTGCACGTCCACACGAGAGGAAAAACAATCGAGAAAAATAATAGAACGACGACGACGACGACGACGACGACGACGCTGACGACGACGACGACGACGCTGACGATGACGATGACGAACGACTTACCCGGGCAGTCATCCAGCGGTGGGTTGTTACAGGTTTCCGCCTGTTCTGACAGGCCGATACAGTCGTGGCTAACAACTCCATCCGGCTTCAGACACTCGCGGTATCGTCGCACAATGCCATCAGGTCCGCATGTCTGCGAGCACTGTGTCCAGGGTGTCCACTCGGTCCACGTTGCTGTGATGGAGGCACGAGGTCACAAACAGAAAGATGCACGCACAGATAAATACGCGCGCACGCACACGTACACGCACACACACGCACGCGCGCGTGTTCGCTAGTTATTTTTTGATATTGCGAATAAATTACATAAACATATCAAAATAACTTCATGCTAACGATATGATATACTGACATATGACAATCATTTTTGACATTTGTTCAAGCTTTATATGGCTCTGTCCCTGCATTATGAGCGATGAGATAAAAAATACGTGTGTTTATAAAATAAATACTAGCGATAGAACAATGAATTTACAAGAGAACTATATATATTTTAGTCTGTTTAAATATAAAACCTTATAAGCGGCTTTGTGATAAGGTATAAGGCATAAGATATAAGGTATAAGGTATAAGGTATAAGGTATAAGGTATAAGGTATAAGATATAAGGTATAAGGTATAAGGTATAAGATATAAGGTATAAGATATAAGGTATAAGGTATAAGGTATAAGGTATTAGGTATTAGGTATTAGGTATTAGGTATTAGGTATAAGGTATAAGGTATAAGGTATAAGGTATAAGGTATAAGGTATAAGGTATAAGGTATAAGGTATAAGGTATAAGATATAAGGTATAAGGTATAAGGTATAAGGTATAAGGTATAATGTATAAGATATAAGGTATAAGGTATAAGGTATAAGGTATAAGGTATAAGGTATAAGGTATAAGGTATAATGTATAAGATATAAGGTATAACGTATTAGGTATAAGGTATAAAGTATTTAAGGTATAAGGTACAGTGTATAAGGTTAAACAATAAGTCGAAACAACTAGTCGATAACTTATAACTATATCATTCGCGAAAATCGTGGAAGTCTCGGGAGAGAGAAGCCCCAATTCGCAGTGCTGTCGCGAACCTCTTTTTCCAAAAAAAAATGACTCCTGTGTCTTACGTATATAAGTGTAACAACATACCAGTGCATGCAAGGGTCCTGGTATATGGTGTCGTTGTGTGTGTAAGGTATTCCATCAATGATACAGTCAGGTGGACATGGTCCCTTGTCACATACACGAGTGTCCTCGGTTTCACCAACACACGGACTGCCATCGTTGCTTGCCGGAGGATTGTTTGGAGCTCTGAATATCAACAAACGTAAGATTCGCACCATGACCATGTCGATATTACGCCAACATTCGCATCACGACTATGACCGTTCTAAGGTGATATTACATAATGCCATGCAACGTGTTCGCGTTAGCACGCAGTGAGAACAACGCACAAAACTGCAGCTGCAAGTGTATGCCCGAATTCTATAACATACCCATCCCTAAGCATACCCATCAAGTCTATGATCGCTTTAGGACGATATTACAGAGTGGCAGGCAATATGTTCCTGTGAATACGGTGTGTATACCTAAACCGTTGTTCATTTCCGAGTCCACAGATAGCGCTACATGCTGTCCACGTAGACCACGTACTAAAGCTGCAGTCGACTGGACAATTCTCGTCACAGTCGTACATTCCCGCGACGCAAGAACTGCAAAACAAACAATACAACGTAGTACAAAATAATACAATGTAATAACTTTATATGTGTATAAAGTTTTTATTATGGACCATATATACTGTATTAGATATTATGGTATATATATATACACATATATATGCCATAAAATCGTATATCTGCCATAATAAAACTTTGGACTGCGATGCGTTTGCGTTTTTAACATTAGTTTGAGATTTTCTTACCAATTTTTACACGAAAATTGGATTTTATATCCGGCTGGGTATTCTTTGCCATCGTCAGCTGTGCAAGGGCATTGCGTTATGTCCACACACTGTCCGTCGCTCTCATACTGGCCTGTAATAAGAGCATTTTGTTGTTGTTGGCGTTTAAGTTTATATAACCGTATTCTAACGGTATCCTGAACGTAACGGTAACGTAACATTATCGTAACGGTATCCTGAACTAATATTCTTGAATTTTCTTCGATGTGGTTCCATGAAAAAAAACTCTTCGACATTGTAGACGTTGAATAAGATAATAGTAATAATAGTAACACCCAGTTAGAGGATAGTTACTATAAAATCACAATCTATACTAGTGTATATATATAGACACATATATAGACACAATGTATATGCTTACCCGATGGGCACCTGCAACCTGGTACACAAGTACCGTTAAA